GTTGCCCACTCCAAAATCTTTCTGGCCACTTGAACTACCAAAAGACTTGTTAACCTAAACATAAAATTATCTAAATCATAACAGGACACTCTGGATCTTTCAAGTATATTAAATATAAGGGTTAAAGTTTTGTCATAACTACAACAGGTCCTCAAATAACATCATTCATTCAATGTTATTTTGTTATAACGCTGATGAGGAAAATAACTGATTCCCATCAGGGCTTCTGTCTATGTAGAGTTAATATATTCTCCCCATGTTTCGTGGGTTTTCTCCTTGTCTTTCAGTTTCCTCCCACATCCCAAAGATGTGCAAGCTTGGTTAGCTGACGTGTCAACATTGTCCCAGTCTGAAGGAGTGTGGGTGTGGTATGGGTGTGGATGTGGGTGTGAATGCAGGGTCACAATGGAAGGGCGTCCTGTCCAGCGTGGGTCCCACCTTGTGCAGTAAGCTGCTGAAACAGGCTCTGGCCACCTGTGACCCAGAACTAGAATAAGCAGGTTGAAAAATCACTACCTCATTTTATTCATCTTTCTTGATTTCAGTATTGGAAGAGTTTGGGGTCTTTATGTAGAAGTTTGGTGATGTTTTTATGACCAAAAATATGCCATAGAGACATAACACTTACTTCTATCAATTAACCTAGGGTGAAACTGGTTTCATTAAATGTGGCTTCTCTTAAAGTCACAGTCCCCAAAAACCTATCAACGTTAGGTTCTTGACTACACTTGGGCATTAGTGGCTGGCTTCTGTCCAAGGAAAGAATTTCAGGATAAGAAAATTGTTCTATCTTATTGTTAAAGGGAGGCTCTCTTACTACTTTAGTCCATATCCCATTTATTATCACGGAAATTAAATGCTGGGGGACAGGGGTTTACTAATGAGATTACTTATGTCTTTAAATGTAAAACCAATATTGCCACCTAGTGGTCATCTGGGTCACTTACAAAACAGGCTGTCGTAAATGTCAAGAACAATAACATTAAGTATATGCATACAAACTAAATAAGTACAGAATAAAGTGCAAGAAAAGTTAACTATTTCTGATGAACAACGCTGTTCTCTATATTTTAGAAGCTGAGGAAAATGCATCAATGACAATACAGTTGCTGATGCTGTGTTTGGCATTATACTATAATAGAAGCCCTGAGGGATACAGAGGGATCTTCCTTCCTTCTGACTCTGAGGGCAGGACAGTGCCCTAGAGGACCAAGGACACACAGGGTGCCCACTGGGGCCCCAAATGAGCACTGACTTCACCAGTAGGACTTGGGAGAAAGTTCATGGAAGAAAGATCATAGGAGAGAAAAAAAAAGTGATAACGACATGCAGCCACAGGCTACAACCTTGAGGATGGACGAACCTGGAGGCCATTATGCTGAGTGAAAGAAGCCAATCACAAGAAGTGTATGATTCTATTTATAAGAGGTCCCTAGAGAAGTCAGATCCATAAAGACAGAAAAGATGGTGGGTGCTGGGGCTGAAGAAGGGGGGCAGAGTTTCAGTTGGGAAGGTTAAAAAGTACTGGAAATGGGTTGTACAACATAAAGGTTCTTTGCACTATAATATGATATACTTAAAAATTATTAAGATGACAAATGTTATGTTGTATGTTTTTTAATAATAATTAAAAATAACAGTAACAGTGGCACCGGCAACAAGAAAACAGGGGGTGGGACACCTGCTGATGTTAGGGCATGAGTAGGAGATTGTGACTGGCCCAATCTCCTCCAATTCTGGCCCCATGTTCCCCCCTGCCACCCCTCACCTCAGTCCAGTGCTCCTTAAACTGCCTGTGACGAAGCAGAGTCTGTGCTCCCTCTGTGGCCAGCTCTGCCCTGGATGAGTCCAAGGGCCTTAGAATTAGGCTCCCACTGCACTCTTGGCTCTCTTAAAGCTGCCCTCCTCTCAGCCACCAGTGAAAATCTGAGCAGGTCAACACTCTAGATACTCTCCCTAACAGTAATTCTCAACAGGGAATACCATTAGCACAGGGACTAGGGGTCACTCCTATACCTGCTGACAGGAGGACATCACAGAAATCTCTCGGAGTGCCAGTAAAGCCCAGAGAAAGGCATGGGTCCACAAGGACACACAGCACCTCTATGGCCAGGCCCGTGTCCCCGCCAGGCCGGCTGGCTACATGCCCACCTCCCCCTTTACACCCACCCAGGGCGACAGGCAGGGTCCACACACACCATGCTGCTGCTTCTCACCTGGCTGCCTTTACCTGGCTGTCCACCTTGAGATCCCTCCCCCTCCCACTTTCTCCCAACTTACCTACTACGAATATTTTATTTAATATGAACTCTCAGATCCTCTTAACAAAGTTAGGCATACAACAGAAGACTGTTGGTTAAAAGGACAAATTTGTAATTAAGATCTCTGGAGCTTATCCATCTGACTTAACTAAAACTTTATGCCTGCTGATAACTCCTCATTCGCCCTCCCAGCCACTGCCCCTGGTTAAACCCTTCGGTCTTTGATTCTATGGATTTACTATTTTGGATACCACATATAAGCAGAACTATGTCTTTCTGTGTCTGCACTGCCACTCTGCCTTAAAACTGCCCATTCATGGACCTGTCTCCTCTGCTGAACTGTGGGTTCTTCCAGTACAAGGACCTTGGCTTGCTGAATACCCAGTACTTTGCCCACAGTAGCTCTGTCAAGACCGAGAAATGAGAGGTTCACAGATAAATTCCTCCATAGACTAGGCAAGTCCCTAATGTAAATAAAATCCAGAATTTAGCAGAAATGTCAATTTGTCTGAATCTCTGTTCCTATCTTCTGTTTGGTGAGTAGAATCCCTTAAGTTTGTCTGTTTCCAAGGCACCCAATTAGATATGACCTTTCCCAGCCAAGGTATGTGCAGGTGATTATGTTCTGGACAATGGTATGTCAGGTCACAGCCTCAGAAGAAAGCCACTTGCCCTCCACACACTGGCATGCAGATGCAATGGTGGGGAGTCAGCTTCCATGGTGCAGATGGGGACACCTTATCCCAGTGGTCAGCAAACTCATTAGTCAGCAGAGCCAAATATCAACAGTACAACGATTAAAATTTCTTTTGAGAGCCAAAGTTTTTAAACTTAAACTTCTTCTAATGTGACTTCTTCAAAATAGACTCACCCAGTGGTATTTTGTGGAAGAGCCACACTCAAGGGGCCAAAGAGCCACATGTGGTTTGAGAGCCAGTTTGCCGAACACGGCCTTAGCCCATGATAAAGTAATGAGATGGAGGATGCTGGAGAAGAGCTGCCTGCCGCTGGCCCACCCACAGCTGCACTGTTTGGGAGGGGACGTAAACCTCCAACTTCCTTAAGTCATTGTTCTGTGTATGTGTGAATGGATTTTCTGGTTCTTTTCCATATTGTCTCTCAAAGATTCACTTAATTGTGAGATCATATTTTCCTAGCACCTCATCCCTGATTACTGATTTGGGGGTAACTGCTACAGCTCAATGGAGCTACATTCCTTAATACTTGCAGAGATCCAACAGAGGGTGTATGGGGTCTACTGATCACCTTCATCCCCATAGTGGCCTCCTTTGTCCACTCCGCAAGGGCCTCCACAGAGCAGGAGGAAGATACCCAGCCAGTCCAGAAGGCAGCATGTCTGCTCTCTGATGAAATCATAACAGATTTATAGAAGAAAATCTCTAAAAGCTTGGTTTCCAGATAAAGAAGAATTTCAAACTCATCAAGCTACTCCTAGCTCCAATCACACACACACACACACACACACACACACACACACACACACATACACACACACACACACACACACACACACAGCAGGCAATTGATCCCCTTAGAAAATGTGATACTCAAGCAGGAAAGCCAAGGACCTGTCCTTGCAAGGATGTGGAGAGGCTGGATACATTTTATATGTAAAGCATTTCAAGATAAAGCACAATAAACCTTAATCTCAGCCTTCAATCCCACTAATGTGGCGAATTTTTCCACTGCTATGTCCAACCCTCCAATTCCCAGCCCCCACCAACAGAAGAACAGCAATCCATCAAACATACATCTCTATCAGAGTTCTGCAACAAGCTCTTTTTTTTTTTTTTTTTTAATCCTCACCCTACGTTGTTTTTCCATTGATTTCTAGAGAGAGTAGAAGGGACGGCAGAGGGGGAGAGAAGGAGAGAAACATCCATGTGAGAGAGGCACATCAATTGGCTGCCTCCCACAAGCGCCCCTATTGGGGCTGGGAAACCTGCATCTAAGGTACACATGAGTCGAACCCGAGGTCTGCGGGTCTGAGATCTGTGGGCCACCGCTCGAATCACTGAGCTAAACCCTCCACGTTTAGACAATTCTGTAGTATTTCTGTAGTATAAAGTAGCAGGAATAGAGGAACTTTTTTACGCTTGGCCAAAGAGGAAAGCACCTATATGGCAGCACAAGAAAGCGGATTTTCCTTTGCCCCAAATCTCCAGCATTAAATTCACTTCATGCTATTTTAAACTTTATCAAAATATACCTACATATGTCAATCTTTCTCTCCATGATTCTTCTCAGAAAATACATTTTAATCAAATCAAAAGTTTAATTAATAATGTCTCATTAAAAACAGATTAAGAAACTCACAGAGAAAACATCACATTGAGGTAAATTTAAATTTGTTTCAATTTGATAATTTCCTTAGAACTTGCTACCAAAATTTTGAACATTATCTCTACTGTTTTAAGCTCTGCTTTAAAGAAGTTATTTATTTTGTATCATACTTTATTACAAAACCACAATAGTCATATACGAGTAAATAATTATCCTAAATTTAAAAAATTTATATAATAATTCAGACTATGAGGCTTTGAGCATTAGTAATTAACTAGCACATTTAAACCATAGTCAATATTAAATAAGCAAAACAAATCAGAAGAGTTATTCTGTTCTAAATAAAATTGATTCTCTATAGACCAAGAGCTTTGGAAAACATAAACTTATCAATTAATAGATAATTACCAGACATCCTAAGCTATTTTGACATACCTGGGTAAGATCTGCAGCTTGCTGTAAGATGCTTTTTCTTAACTCTTCTGCTCTTTTTACATGAAAAGAATTACTTTGACTTTGGATGACAAACACAATTCCTTTCAAATCTAGAACCAAAAAAGAAAAAGCTTTCAGGTATTTACTTTTTGACAACTGAAATGATCTTGAAAACAAATTTAAACTCTTTGCCTGCTACAATGTAAGCCTTCAGGAAATAAACTCTTAAAGGGAAAACTCAATTTATATATAACTAGAGGTCCAGTGCACAAAATTCATTCATGGGTGAGGTGGGGGACAGAGAGGGCGGTGTCCCTCAGCCCAGCCTGCACACTCTCCAATCTGGGACCCCCTCTCACAATCCAAAACTGCTGGCTCCCAACTGCTCACATGCCTACCTTCCTGATTGCATCTAACTGCTTCTGCCTGCCAACCTGATCACTCCCTCACCACTCCCCTGCCAGCCTGTTTGCCCCTAAATGCCCTCCCCTAAAGGCCTGGTCAACTCTAACTGCCCTCCCCTGCAAGCCTAATCACCCCTAACTGCCATCCCCTATAGGCCTGGTCCCCCCAATTCTCTCCTTTGCAGGCCTGGTCCCTCCCAACTGCTCTCCCCTGCTGGTCTAATCACCCACAACTGCCCTCCCTTGCAGGCCTGGTCCCTGCCAATTTCCCTCCCCTGCTGGTCATCTTGTGGTGGCCATCTTGTGTCCACATGGGGCACCCATCTTGTGTGTTGGAGTGATGGTCAATTTGCATATTATTCTTTTATTAGATAGGATAGAAGCCTGGTGCATAAGTAGGGGCCAGCTGGTTTTCCCTGAAGAGTGGGGGTTCCCTTGGGGTGTGGGGTGGCCTGGGTGAGAGGTCTGTGGTGGTTTGCAGGCTGGCCACATCCCCTGGTGACCCAAGCTGAGGCCCTGGGATCTGAATTTATTTATCTTCTATAATTGAAACTTTGTAGCCTTAAGCGGAGGCCTGATCTGGATAGGGTATACAGAAAGCTTGGCTTCCTCCATCGCTGGGGAAACCCAACCCTACCTCCTGCTCTCTCCATGGTCACAGCCATCTTGGATTAATTTGCATACTTGCTCCTAATTGGTTTGTGGGCGTGACTTGTGGGTGTAGCTGAGTGATGGTTAATTTGCATATTGTTCTTATTAGATAGGATTCTAGTGATAAAATCTCTTTTGAAGTTGATCTCCAAAGTTTATTTCCCAGAAGTTAGAAAATAAATAAGCTCACTGTACTAGACCAAGTCAATGTAACCAACTATGGATGTGTCCTGCCTCTGTCAAAAAGAATGACTGTAAACACAGAAAAGTGTAAAAACGTCTAGAACACTACCTCCCTAGAAGCTGAAAATCTTGTTTGCAAGTAGCCTTTTAACAATTCACAAATAATCCTACACTGTGCTGTTACCTGTTATGGGTTGAATTGTGTTCCCAAACTTCTTAGATTGAAGTGTAACCCCCAGGATCTGAGAATGTGACCTTATTTGGAACTTGGTCTTTATAGAGATCAAGTTAAAGTGTAGTCTTAATCTAACATATTTGGTTTCTTATAGAACAAGGAACTGTGGACATAGACACACAGAGGAAAGCTGATGTGAAGACATAGGAAGAAGATGGCCATCTACACACCAAAGAGAGAGTTTCTTTTTGGAAGAAAGAAACCAATCTTGCTGACACCTTGATTTTTATGCCCAGCCTCCAGAACAATGAGACAATATTCTATTGTTTGAACTATATAATTTGTGGCACTTTGTTTAAACCGCCCTAGCAAATTAACACACTATTTTAAGACTGTTATGGCTGGCCCTAACATTCAATGGTAATTGCATATATCCCATGAGTTTATAAATAAATAACTCAGTCACTCCAGCCCTATCTCACAAGCCAGAACTGAGTGTACTCTCCAGGAAAACAGCCACAGTTCCACAGAAGCTAGCTTTAGTGAAAACCGTTGCATAAAAGCTCACCTATGGAAGATGGCGACCGACAAGAAGGTAGGGAGGGACAGAGTGTGAGAGAATGCATGAATGTGTATGGTGTATGTGGATGAGCTAGGGCCAGTTAGATCCTGAAGATCATCCAAGGGGCTGCCAAACTGGGCAGTCTCGGATGGCAAAATCATGCAGACACTCTGGGGGTGGCCAGCGCAGGCACAGAGACCCCACCATCTTGAAAAATAGGATTTCAGGGTGTCAGTAAAATGATGGTGGAATAGACAGATGGGTCCCAGGCCTTCTCCTGGAGCAGAAAGAAAGAACAGCTGAGGATCACATTGGGGAGTGTTTGTTGATGAGTTAAGGGACAGCAAAACTCCAGGAGAAGGTGGGGGACTGCTGGACAGGGTTCCCCTGACCGGGTACCCCCACTGCTGCTGGGTCCCCTCCCGGAGCCACAGGCGTGGACATGGAGACCACGCCATCTTGAAGGGGAAAGTGAATTTTATGGCAACCACTGAAGAGCTGCAAGCACCAGTCCCCAATTGATGCAAACACGTGGATTCAGAGGAGCTCTACACTACACCACGGAAAGGTCAGATTTTGCCTAGGATAAGGTGAGGTCTCTAATCCTAGCGGGAGAGAGAAACTCACGCACTGTGGGAGCTGGAGGACTGGGGGAAGTCTGTGCCTAGAAAAATCTATGGCTATTGGGACTGGCGTGATCTGTGAATGTGAAGGGGTCCTCAGAGCTGCTAACAGGAAGCAATCTCTAAAAAGCAACCCATTTTGTTCTGATGCAAAAGGATAGCCTAGAAATCTTAAAAGTGTGCCAGCTGCTTAGACCCAAATGGGAAAGGGGACTGCGCAGACTTCCCATTGCTCGCATACTTGGGCTTTTCCTTCTTCCAATACTTGCTTCTGATTACTAACCCCAATACATAGGATCGCCCAAGTGGGGACACCCTGAGAGACTGCAGGGGAAAGTTGTTTTTCTGGAACCTGGGGATCAGAGCAGGGAGTGACCATTGGAGAGACAACTCTGAGGCAGCCCACTCCCACAAACTGGTACTGAGTGTGACAGGGAAAGAAGGATCTAAACACAGGCTAGAGAGGCCAAATAGATCCGGAAGTCAATCCAGAAACACTGCCCCCAGGGGGCGGAATCACAAATTGACTCTTGTGTAATCAAAAATAAAGGAATATGAGTAATTAAGACACCATCTACTTAAAAATCAGGACAGGCTTACAACACTGAGGAGCAATGGAACACAGGGATCTACAATATTGTCCTGACTGGGAAGCAGGCCCGTCAAACAGAACAATAGAGGAAGTGAATGATCTTCATTACTGCACATTTTACTTTTTTACTTTTTATTTATTTTTCATGTTTTACTTAAGAAACTAATTATTTTCTTTTTTCCTCACCTGATTTTATCTTTTTAATTATTACATTGTTATTTTCAATCAGTATTATTACTTCTTCTATTTTACCTTTTTAAAATGTCATTTTATTTTCTCTTTATTTTACTTTGGGAAAGGTATTCTACATTCTACTTTCCTCTTTCCTTTAGCATCGTTTTATTCTATCTAAACTCTACTTTTCTGCCATCACTCTCTTCCTAACTTTCCCCCTTTTGGTGTACTGTTTCTCTTACCCTTTTCCTGCTTTAGATTTTCCCTATTCTTTCTGTTTACCCCTGTTAAAATTTCACCCTACTTATATATCTAATTTCTAATCCCCTGCTCCAAGTCCACACACACATCTGTCTTCTCTGTCTTAACTATCCAAAAATTATTTTTCTCTTTGTCCTTATGTTGTTGTTTGCTTGAATGTTGATTATATCAATTCTTTAAGCTTTTTTGTGAGATTTTTTTTTGCTTATTCTTTTTTGTTTGGTTGATTTTTTGTTTGCCTTGTTTTTCTTTTTTTGTTGTTTCTGTTTTCCCTTGCCTCCCTTGATATTAGTTGTTGTTTGTAGTTTGTATTAATCTCCAGGTACTTGTCGCTGGCATTTGCTGAGATTAGTGGCTGTTCTCTTGGAGTTTTCTCCCATATATATAATTTGTTTCCCTTTCTTTCTTAGTTTCTTTCTTTTCTCTCTTACTTTTTTTTTTCCTTCTCCCAACTACATTTTGGCACTCCCCTTTTTTTTTTTTTTCTTTTTTTTTTTTCTTTTTTTTTTTTTTCCTCTTCTTCTTTCTCTCCTATCCTCTAATTTGTCTTTCTCTGGTGGTCACCTTTATTGGGGGTTATTAATATCATGAATATGTTTCTGTTCAGTGCCTGTGTGTTGTACCAGGTTGTGTTGTATTTTGTGTCTTTAAATCAACGCAAGAGAGAGAGAGAACTACATAACCAGACATCTAGACAAGAGACACCATGGGAAGACAAAGAAACAGGCTGCATATGAAAGAAAATCAGGCATCAACAGAAAAGGAATTAAACGAAATATAGGCAAACAATAATAGAGAATGAATTCAGAGAAATGTTCATAAGGTGGCTGAAAAGAATGGAAGACAAATTCAACAATATGAGTAAGAACCAAGAGGAAATGAAGAAGAACCAAGAAGAAATGAAAAATGACATCGCTGCTGTAAAGACCTCAATAGAAAGCACCAAGAGTAGACTAGAAGAAGCAGCGGACCACATCAGTGAGCTAGAAGACAAGGTGGAGGAAAATACCCAAGTAAAGCAGCTTCTAGAAAAAAAATTAAAAGGCAGGAGGAGAGTCTAAGGGAATTTTGGGACAATACCAAACAAAACAACATCCATATAATAAGGAAACTGCTCAAGGAATAGAAAACACGTTTGAAGAAATAATGGCAGAAAACTTCCCTGATATAGGGAAGAAAAAAACCCACACAAATCCAAGAAGCTCACAGAGTCCCAAGGAAATGAAGCCCAAAAGACGGACACCAAAGCACGCTATAATTAAATTGGCAAACATCAACGACAAAGTAAGAATCTTAAAAGCAACCAGAGAGAGACAGAAAGACAAAAGAACCCCCATCAGACTAACAACTGATTTCTCAACAGAAATTCATCAGGCCAGAAGGGAATGAAATGAAATATACAAAGTCATGAAAGGAAGGGTTTGAATCCAAGAATACTGTACCCAGCAAGGCTAGCAATCAAAATTGAAGGTGAAATCAGGAGCT